CCCCCGACACTCTCTGCCTTACTCGATCCCCCCTTCCTCTCTTTTGCCCCCTAAATCCAGCTGGATGAGGGAAAGCCACCTTCATCCCAGACTCTCAGCCCTGTAGCTGGGAGCAGAGCTGGAGTTACGCCTTCCTGGCTGGATTAGCCAGCTCCTCTCCCCGGATTATTTGGCAAACATTTCCTACCTCAACTCCTATTTTGGAATTTCCGCCCGATGAATGATTTGCTAGAAACAATTTAATCAAGGGATAATTCAGCCATTCTTGGAATCGCCACAAGCTCTTCTTCCCCCAAACCCACCCTTTATTCAGCAAGAATCTCTCAGCCGTGAATAGTCTAAATTGGAGCCGGGCTAATATTAGTTCAGAAAGGTCAGCTGAGCCAAGTGATGTTGTTCAGATTGTTTGATATTGTTCAGTCAGCCTGGATGCACACCCCACTGCTTCTCACACCCCTTTTATTGCTGGGAAATAAACAGCTGGAGAATTTATTTTTCCCCTGCCAAAAGCTAGAAAAGGCAGAAAAAGAAGAGATGGAGATTTTTTCTCCAGGGGAAATGGGGATTTGTTTGCCCCCCGATCCTTTCGCTGCTTTCTCATGCTTAAGATGTCCCTTCTAATCTTTAGACAAGTTTCTTCTGCTCATTACTGATCCCGCCTGGCAGCCGGGCTGCCTCTTGCAAAGTCTCCCTGTGGCTCTCCAGCGCAGAGCTGACCCCGATCTCCGGTGGGCGCAGTCGTTAAGCATACGGGTGGCTTAATTGGGTGCCTAAAGCTCCCCAGCCACTCTGGTGCGAGCTGAAAGCCAATTTATACTGATGCTGGCACACTTGGGTTTTCATCTCAGCTCTTGCTGTGTCCGTTGGTGTGCACCCAGGCTCTGCTCAGCCCTGTCCCCTCTGGGTCAGTGTCTTACCCACAGCACGAGCGTGCCTGTGAGCCCCGGGGACCAACCCACACACACCTTAAAATGGGAAGATGGCCCAAAGCCCATGCAGACACCTCTGGGAACCTTGTACATGCCTTCAATGCCTCCAGAACCCCCCCTCCCCACCTCAGCATCCCCCGCCTGACCTTCTCCCGGCCCATTTCAGAACGAAACGGATGACAACCAGATCCAGCTGGTGGGAGGCGACGTGGAGCTGCCCAAAGAGCTGGCCAAGATGATCGAGCAGGACAACGAGGAGGAGGAAGAGAAGAACTCGGTTATCGGCCAGCTCACCAACATCCAGAACCTGGACCTTGATTCCTTGAAAGACAAAGCTTCGGCCACGCTAGAGGACCTGAAGCAATCGGCTGAGAAATGCACCATGATGTGACCTGGCTGAACCCCCCCTCCCCATCAACATCACGGTGGGGGAGAAGGGAGGGGACGCAGCGAAGGGTCTGGAGGTGGCTGTTGCCTGCAGCGGGGACCCCACTGATGTTGTCACCCTTGCCTTGTGTGAGTCGGGTCCTCTTTCTGAGCTGTGTGAAGCCTCAAGTCCCCGACCCAGATGTCCCTGATGTGTGGTTTTTGTTTTGTTCTCCGGTCTGAGGTTAGAGCAGAGAGCCAGCATGTGTCCCCGGTCCCCCAGTGCCTCCTCCTGTGCCCGTGGCTGTGGGTGTCTTTAGCGAGAGCCGGGGGGTTGCAGGGAAGGAAAGCCCCGAGTGACCTTGGAGTGTTATTGAACCATGTCAGCATGGGAAGGCAAAGGCTTTCCAGCAGAGTGGTGGCCATACGCCGTGTCTCTGCCTACACATTTCGACCAAGCCGCCTAGAAACGACAGGGTGGCTCCGATTTGCTTTGCAAGGACGAGGCACAATGCAAAATGCTCCCCCCCGCCCTGCATCCCATACCCATCACATGAGAAAAAACATCCCGTCCGTGCAAGAAATGCCAACCCCTTTGCCCTTGAGGGCCCCTCTCAAAGGAGTCAGCCAGGAAGGACCTGCTATATGATCCCATTTAGCCCAGCGGGAAGGCAGGTGCTGAGGACCAGAGCGATAAAGCCTGAATTAACGCCAGAGAGGAATAAACCCCCTCCTCGGTGCTCACCTGAACCCACACCGGCCCGTTCCCAGAGCAGTGGTGGCACATCCTCCCTTTCCCCAGGGTGGGACCCACTCCTGTCCTTGTTTCTTCCAGGAGAAGAACAAAGTGATAAGGGAAAAAAATCTCCTCCTCCTCTGTCGTGCCGTAGTTGTGCGCTGTGCTCACTTGAGTGTCTCTCCACCTCCTATGCTGTCCCCGTGCCATGGTACTGTTACAACCGGTGGAATAAATACCAGGAGATGTCTATGCATTTATTTCTCTCCTCGAGCAGTACTTTCCTGATACAGGTTTTGGGGTGCCCTAAGGTACGAGAGGTGTCGAGAGATCAAGCTCATCTCCTTTACAGGGCAGGAGGGAACAGTGATGGGAGCTCAAGGGAGAAATCTCTTGCAGCAGCATCCAAAGGAAAGCAGCACACCTGGTTGTGGTCAGGTGTTTTGACATGGTTCGTACCAAAGGGATGCTATGAGTGGCTCTTTGTCAGCAGCAGGGCTTAAAAGCAAACAAACCCCTCAGATTTCACAGATTTTTGGGCTATTTTAGTGAAAAGCCTTCAGATCACTCAGCGGCTCCCCACCTCAGTCTCTCTCCCACAGCATGCTCCAAGCAAGGACATGTCTCTGCAGGGACGAGACCATGACAAGTACAGGTGTGACTTCAAGCCGGTGCAGCTCCAGCCTACCAGCATCACAGCGGGTAGTGGGCTCCAGCAGCGAGGCTTCCTGGAAAAACTTGGCACAGGCTGGGAATTTGCTGCTCCAAATCCCAACGGAGCGGATTAACTGCACTTTGCTTTTGCAGGAGAGTTGGGTCATCCAGGAAAATGCTGGAGAGGGTGCTGGGAAGCTGGTATTATTATTATTATTACTACAGCAAGGATGCTGGATCAGGCCACACCAGGGGCTGCTGGGCTGAGCACAGCTCCCTGGTACAGCTAGGAGATGCCCCCTGGTAATACCGTGCTGGGACCAGCTAGCCCTGAGAAACTCCCAATAACCTCCGACATCCAAGGCTGTCTCACCTCTTAGAGGAACTCAGCCACCGCTTTGGCTGGCAGGACAGACAGACAGAGGCAGCTCAGCCTCCTGGCCGCAGCTCAGGTGTGATGCTCTGCCCGTGGGGAGACACACATCAGCAGAACCCTCCGGCCCCAGCGACCAGGCTGCTCTCCAGCCCCGCAGGGACCCACCAGCGGCTCTGAGGACACCTGCCCCAGGCAGAGCCCCAACCCAGCCCCACATGTCGGGCGAGAAAGGCGAGGGAAGATTGGCAGAAGCAGCTTTAGCTCTGAAATGAGATCATACCTGATGAGGCTCAGCCCGAGCTCATCTAATCCCCCACCAGGAAAGGGATAGCAGAGAGCAGGCACGGACCAAGCCGAGCGCTCCAGCCTGGCTTGGCTTTTAAATCCCCAGCTGATGGCAAGGCTTGATCAATAAAACATCCCAGGGGTGAGCGGGATCCCAACCGGAGCAGAGGCAGGGAGATGGGCCTAGGGGATGCATCTCTTTGGTTCGTCCCCACCCATAACCAGTGTAACCCCACCAGGACACAGCCCGGACCCTCTCCCCCACCTTTTATTTCGCCCCCCCCTTCCCCGCTCCCCCAGCCACGGACCTTTGGCTCTGCTCCGCGCTCGCTCCCGGCCCACGTGCCACCACGCACAGGCCACGTGCAGCTTGGCGGGTTTATTTTAGGAGGCACCATGACCCCCAGGCATGTGAAAAGCAAGCAGCACGCTCTCTCCCCGCTCGGCTCCGCGATGTGTTAAGCCTCAGCAAAGCGTTCCCGGCAAAGTGTCGGGAGCTCCGAGGATGCTCCGAGCCCGCAGCCCAGCTCCCATTGCTGGCCCGATGCCCGTGCCGGGGAGGAGAGGTTGGGATGGGGGGAGCAGGGGCAGGCAGCTCTCCTCCTGCCTGTTCCCTGCCCATGGAGAGATGCATCCCGTTTGCCAGCATTCCCCGCTGCCGGCTCCCCGAGCAGCCCTGCAGCCAAGCATCCCAGCTGCCTGCACACCATACGACTGCTCCAGGCATCAACACACAGGCTAAAAAACTTAAAGTAAAGAATTAGTGTGGATTAAAGCAGAAAATCCTTTTTTTTC